ACTGGGGGGCTGGGGGACTTCCTTAAAAGACAGAGAGAGGAAAAGAGAAGGAGGAAGAGAGAAGGGAAGTAAGTAGAGAAAAGGAAGGAGAGGAGGAAGGGATGGAAAGAGACAGGAAGGAAGATGACAAAGCCAATGCAGTCAGAATTAGATTTAATTTCTACTTCTCAGTGCGTTCTCATCTCTCTTTCTAGTTCTCTGTTCTCAGTCTCTTGCCCTCTGCTGAATGTTGATCTGGAGGTGATCAGGATTGTGCTAAGCAGCTATAGTGCTACTAGAGGATGGTGGGGCTAAGACCCAAAGAACCTGGCTAGTGATTAGCCAGGAGTGGGGTGCTCCCTGGTGGTTGTGGGACCCCAAGCACAAAAGTATGGATGTGCATGCAATTCTGATAGGACCGGTTCACTGCACTGCCATAGAGCCTCCCCTAGAACCAGCAGTTTTTATCTGCTAATAAGAAGCAGACCCAAGCTGCTGGGTATGCTTCGGCCAGCACCCCCTTTCTCAGAAATCCCCCAATCTGGAAACTATTAAAATCAGACTGCTTGAAATATAGCCCTTTAATATCTCAGGCTGCGCATTCTGTCAAAGGTGCAGGGTGTTGCTCTCAATACTCAGAAGATACCACCTTAAAAGAAAATAATTGGGGATCCCAGCCCATGTGCTGCATCCCCCAAAGCAACACCTTGCAGAATTGTTGGGTTGCTTGTGGAAACCAGTCGTTATTTGAATCTGCTACTCTTTCCTCCCCTTAAAATTACAATTTGGGGGTCTAGAGGGAGGTGGGAGGGGTGTAATTTTTGTTTGGTTACTTTGGAGGGCAGTCAAGTCGCAACTGTGTGTCAGTCATTGAAGTATTCGGTCCTCTTTCCCGCCTAGAAGACCTCTTCCCCAATTCCGGAAGCATTGTTTTCTTGGTCTTTTGGCAAGGTGCTCTGCCTACAGTTTTGTCTCTTCCTTGCGCCTGTTTGGTCCTTCTGCTGTTCTGGAATCCTGGCCCCAGTTCTGCTCTTGATAGAAGTCAGTAGCCACCCAACCCTTCCTTTGGACCTAAGATGTGGGCTTCTCTCCCTGCCCAAGCTTGGCGATGTTTCCGGGTTTCTACTCTGCCCCTGCTCCAGAGCCCTGTCGCCTCCCTTCCGCGTCGGTCAGTGCGGCCTGCCCCTGCAGCCCGGCTGGGCCGAGCCCTCTTTGCTTCGGGCAGAAAGCAGGGCCTGAAGACCCTAGGACAGAGGTGGGATTCAGAGCAGGCCCACTGGCCTCTCGCCTCGCCACTGTTCAGTCACAGACTAGCGTCTTGAGTGCAGGTCAGGATTGGACTGGATTTTTATTCATTGTCACTTATGAATTAAAACAACACGACACACATGTAGGGAAAGAAATGAAATCTGGTGGGAGAGAGGGGCTAGCAAATGCCTTCTTGTCCTAATCTGCCCCTCCCACCTCTCCTCTGCTCTTTTGTCAGAATCACAAAACCCTAAAGGTTGTTCCACTTGGGAAGGCAGCGGATAGGTACATTTCCGCAGCCCCGAAATGCCACTTTTATGGCGCTGTTTGTCTCTCTGCTCTGCGTTCTGAATAGGGCTGAACAAAACAGCAGCGCGGAGCTGGCTAGACGTCTGGGCTTAATTGTTTTATGGTTTAAATAAGGTGGACACTCTTTCCTTTGAAATCGGATTATAGGAATGTTTTGTCTATGGCCCACGGAAAACAGGACCTCACTGGCTGGGAGGGAGAGGTGGAGAGAGCGCGCGCGAGGGATGGGTTACAAACCACGGGCACAGCGCCTGGAGAGAAGTCAGAGACCCACCCCAAAGTCTGCAGGCAGCGGTGGAATAGGCAGCGAGGGGCCAGCATCAGAGTAAGAGGGACCAGGAATTTAGGGTGTGCGCCTCTGGCAGTGGCCGGTCGTGGGAGCTTCAGCCTGGTATCCGCGTGCGCGGGGGTGTTCCGAGGCCAGAAATGCGCCTGAACGGAGGTGCGGAAATCACTGCAGTTCTTTGCACAAGGTCTCTCAGTGCAGGAAGAGAGGTAACAAAAAGAGGGAGAGTATGGAACCTGTCACAAGGTTTATTTCAACAATTTAGGAAACAAAACAAAACAGCGTCGCAGGGCAACTCCCTTCCGGGGAATCCCTCTCCTCAGCACCCAATTGGAGGCTCCTTCCTCCTATTTCCCACCTTTGGGCCAAGCCTGCGACCTCTGTTGGTTTTTTCCAGGCCTGACTGCATTGGTGCAAGTGAACGCGAGGTGGCGCTGTTGCTCAATGTTAGAGGCGGCGTTACCCGGGCAGGCCCCGACGCACTGACATTTGAGTCCCGGACTAGAGCCTTGCTGAGAAGGCCCCGAGTCTCTGCCCATCCCTGCCCCATTGGCTCTGAGCAAATCAATCCTCTCACCTGCGAGGTGTAAATAATTCGCGAGTGGCAGCGGGAGATGGGCCTTCGCTGGGGCAGCGGGCTGGGGAAGCACAGAAGGGCAGGCATCAAAAATGATCACTTTGCAGAAGAGATAAGTGCGAAGCAGGCAGAGCGTAATTAACACAAAAAGGCAGAATGACCCGGACAAACGAACATAAATCCGTGGTACCTAAGAGGGCCGTGCGGGGCTCGGGGAGAGGGACAGAGATGGCCCGCGCAAGGATGTCTGCTTGCGGTTCCTTTATTTCCAGCCTCAGGGAATGAAATAAACCAGATACTATAAAAGAAAGAGAAAAAAATTAAGGCAAAAGATCTCCCTAAAGAGAGAAACCAAGTCTGCCCAGAGGTCGTGGGGCTGATTTGTTCTCTGGACAGGCGGTGGTGGAGGCACACTCGGGACAGTCGAATTCCAAGACACAAAAGCCCAGAAGAATAGCTCTGTGGCAGGGTTTTCGCTGGACCATAAAATGTCGAAATATCCCCCCCCCCACCCCCTAAAAGATAAGGCACAGGCCCAAGAGCTGATCTGGCCCTCTGGGCCTCCTCTTTCCAGGCAGAGAAGAGAAAGTATTTATGGCAGTCCCAAGTGACCCAGATGCTGGGAGCTGAGAGCCCACCCTGTTCAGCTCAGGCACCAGAAAAGCAGGCTTCAGAAAAGCAGGGCTGGAGCCACGGATGCAGCATCTCTGGTCCTAATGATGGAGATGCCCTGCCGCTGCTGTATCCCCCAGTGTTTTGGAGCTTAGAGAGGTCTGTGACCCTGGCATGCTCCTCTCATCCTCTTCTCACTCCTTCAGGGTCAGAGTCCTGGTATCTAAGAGTCTGGACAGTCTAACTCAGATAGAATGAGTTCCCCAAATGCAAGAGATCCTGGAAAGCTCTTTGCTGAGGTACCAGTAAATCTCCTTTGGGAATTTGGCTGAAAGTGACCATTTCTCTGGCAATTACTTAGATAATAAAGGGCCTGGAGAGGGAGGGTTCATTCTTGATAAACCATCCTGCTCTGCACTGTCATTTTTGCCTCCATCCCCAGAGCTGGGCTCCGGATGAGAATGAGAAAGGAAAAGATCTGGTTTTCTAACCACCTCCTTCCTCATCCAATGCTGAAACCTCAGGATGTGGAGGAAAATAGGTATCATTTTTTTTTCATGATGCAGTGACCTAAAGATGCATCCAAGTTTGTCAGGCTTCTGTGCATGTGTGACTCATGTGCATGTGTGTGTGCAGTGTTTGTGAGGTAACAAGGACACTTTCAGGAATGTGTATGCTAGTTTATGGTGAGCATGCACTGGATGTGTCTCAGGGTGAGAAGGTGGCACGTGTGTGTGTGTGTGTGTGTGTGTGTCCATGTCCTGAGTGTGTTCTAGGGTTGTCTTGTGTGTAACAACCTTAGATACTGTGGAGGAAGAGTAGGAGAAAATCATTCTTATTCATCTTCGTTTGTCTGCACACAGCACACATATACATGGCTCTCTCACTTTTTCCCTTTTTCTCTGTGTTAGATCCATATGGCCGTATACTTATGGCCAGGGAAGGGTGCTGATGGACTAAGGTTCTTGTATCCATTAGAACTTGAATTTGTCCAGTGTTGAGGATGAGGGGAACCCTCCAGAGAAAGTGTGGGTAAATATTTTAAAAGTATCTGTTGACAGTTTCCAACCACATCCTGACCTGGGCAGCTTGCCTCGGGAAGGAGGGGGTGGCAGAGAAGTCACAGGGCCCCTCCAGGCTGAGTTGGCATTTCCTATGGGTGAGGGTATATGGGGACACGTAAGAGGCCTTCTGCAGTCCCTTCCAAACAAGAAACAAATGGCCTCCTAAGGAAGAATGTCCTGGATCAATTCAGACAGAAGCCAGGGACACTGAGCTGTCCTTTCTTTCTAAGTTCCCCCAAATACCTCTGCTGTTAGACACCCCCCCCCCAGAGCTTGTGGCCATCTCCTGAGCCTCCTGCTCCAGGTAGGGGCTAGGGTCTGAAGGAAAGGTGGTGTGGTCTTGCCAGGGTATTTGGAGGGCTCCCGCCTCTCTGGTCTTCTTAACCCATAAGCAGCCAAGTGTGAGAGTCTTGAAGATCTAAGGAAAACGGCAGGTTCCGACCCCAGGGAGGGGTCAGAGGCTGAGGGGTCTGAACCTTGAAGTGTCTGGGGGACTAGTGTGCTTGTTCTCCCCAAAGCCCCCAGTCTTAAGGACCTGGTAGAGAGCCCATCTTTTGGAATTTGGAGCTCTGCAGTGGGCTTGTGACACTGAACCCCCACAGGGGGTCTTATACCTGTTGAGGTAACCTGAGTTGACCTGCTGATTCAGGTACTTCTCAGAGAGAGGAAGAAAAAGAGAAGCAGGGCAAAGAGGCACCTTCAAATCTGAATGCTACCAGACTATTAGCTGGGGCTGGCTCGCCACCCCCTGCACACACCACACCCCCATCCCTCCCCCTCTCCTCCCTCCCCTTCCTCCAGGTCCCCCCAGCCCTGAACCCCTCAACCCCCGCCAGCCAGCTCTCTCTCTCTCTCTCTCTCTCTCTCTCTCTCTCTCTCTCTCTCTCTCGCCTGTCTTCATGTCGTGGATTGATGAACGCGAATCGCGTGTAAGCGCCGCCACCGCCGGGAGTCTGAGGAATTCGCCTGGGCTGTTAAAGGAAAGAGCTAAGTGAGAGAGCGCGAGCTCTACCTACCGACAGTGAGGAGCGCCGCCGCCGCCGCCGCGCCGCTCGCCGCCCGCCGCCGCCCGCGCCAGCCCCGGAGCCCGGCACGCGGCGCCCCCACCTGCCCAGCCCCCGGCCCAGCAGCCCAGCCCTGCCCAGCCGGGGAGCCCGCCGGCCTGGGGTTCGGTCCCGGGGGGAGGGGAGTTTGGGGGTCCCAGGCGGGAGCCGCGAGCCAGAGGGAGGGGGCCGCGGGGTTTCATGTGCCCAGCATGAGCTCCTACTTCGTCAACCCCCTGTTCTCCAAATACAAAGGCGGCGAGTCCCTGGAACCGGCCTATTACGACTGCCGGTTCCCGCAGAGCGTGGGCAGGAGCCATGCGCTGGTGTATGGGCCCGGCGGCTCGGCGCCCGGCTTCCAGCACGCCTCGCACCACGTCCAAGACTTCTTCCACCACGGCACCTCCGGCATCTCCAACTCGGGCTACCAGCAGAACCCGTGCTCTCTTAGCTGCCACGGAGACGCCTCCAAATTCTATGGCTACGAGGCGCTCCCCAGACAGTCCCTTTATGGGGCTCAGCAAGAGGCGAGCGTGGTGCAATATCCCGACTGTAAATCCTCCGCCAACACTAACAGTAGCGAAGGACAAGGCCACTTAAATCAAAACTCGTCTCCCAGCCTCATGTTTCCATGGATGAGACCCCACGGTGAGAAGCCTTTTCTCTTTCCCCCTCGGTCTCCCGCGCTCTGGGGTCTTCCCCCCCTCCCTCGCCTCCTTTTTGTCTGCCCTGGCTTTCCCTCCTGGCTTTGGGGTCTCTCCTGCCCCACCCACTCTCCCCCTCGCCTGGGTGGGTTTCTCGAGGTTGGGAAGTCTTGGCTGGGGGTGGGGCAGGGGGGTGTCTTGTACATTTTGGGGACTGGGGTAAAGGTGGAGGAAAGATGATGTGGGGATTCAAAGGGTTAAAAGTCGTTTCCTCCATGTCTGTCTGTCTGTCTTGCCTGTCCCCATCTCTAAAGTCAAAGTTGGGGAGGTGGCTGGTAGGATACCCTGAGGTCCTTGGAGCTGATAACCAGCTTCTCCAAAGGCAGAGTCTGTGGTCCAGGACAGCGACCAGGCTGTCTTGGGTTTAAGGGAGACCCCAGTTTTTCTCTCTTAGCCAGAGACATGTCGGGATCCCAAGGACATAAGCTCTGGCTCTCTAGGTCCCCATTGCCTGCTCTCAGAGAACTAGCCCAAGGGGTCACTACCCCAACTTTTCTATACTTCCCCTCAGTTGGAGAGAAGACAGGAGCCTAAGAGGAAGAAAACACAGTGCTCAAAAGAAGATCATACAAATTAGGAGTGTCTGGGGGTCCAGAGCACCAAGCCAGGCTCCCCTCCAATCAAGGGCTTGTAGGGTCTCCCTGAGACCTAACACTGGCTCAGGCCAAGAGCCCCTCTAAGGGTGGCCCCTCATGGCCCAATTTCGAAGTACAGGGGGAGTGATAAAGCGACAAGTTCCGCCAGGGACAGCCCCTGATTTATTTGCTGGTCTCCAGTTAGCAATCAGGCGGAGCACTGATACATTCCAGGAGATCAATTATTTTTCTTATTGGAAAAGCATTAGGCAGAGAGCAAAGGCAGGAGGGGGCAGTGGGCAGAGCCCTCTACTCCCAGCCCGTTTTCCTTTCTTTTGGAAACAGATTCTGTCCCCAGCCCTGTTCACTAAATGCCATTCTGCACTTGTAAACAAAGCTGCAAGGGCCAGTTTCCTGAGACTGCAGGCCTGGACAACTCTGCAGGGCTTCCCCGGCCCCCTCAAGCCCCCAGTGTTCACACAATCCTAGTCAAGAGTCCCTACCCTCCACCTACCTCCCAAGATGAAACCAGACCAAAACAATCCCCCAAACTTTTCTGCCCTTGCTTGCCTTAGGTTTTTGCCTCCTACGGAGGGAAGAGAACTGGGGAGACCAGAGGGTGAACTTTAGGGGAGAAAGAATGGCTGGAGGAAACCAGCCCTCCCACCCAGACATAACCAGACTGGGGTTCTGTTCTGTCCAGCTCCGGGGCGACGCAGCGGAAGGCAAACTTACAGCCGGTATCAGACCTTGGAACTAGAAAAGGAGTTTCTCTTTAATCCTTATTTGACACGAAAGCGCCGGATTGAAGTCTCTCACGCCCTGGGACTAACCGAGAGACAAGTGAAGATCTGGTTCCAGAACCGAAGGATGAAGTGGAAAAAGGAGAACAACAAGGATAAACTGCCTGGGGCCCGAGATGAGGAGAAGGTAGAGGAAGAAGGGAATGAGGAAGAGGAGAAAGAAGAGGAGGAAAAGGAAGAAAACAAGGACTAGGCAAAAAAAAGAGAAAATCGCCCCCTTTAGCAACTCCCTTGAAGTTTCGTTTTATGGTAGCAGATACATTGAGAAGTTTACGACTGTCATTTGCTTTTATAGAGAATAGAATGACACTCACAACTCTAACTACCTGTCAGATACTTGCAGTGCGGTTTTATTACCTTTGGACTTCCCTTGCGCTTTATTTGTTTGGGGCTGGAGGGGGGAGACCGAGACCCAGAGGAAAGTTCGGACTGTGTCCCACTCCTTGCCCCAACACAGACACTTGTCCCCACTGCCACCTCCTGAGTCCTTCCTGGACTCAAGTCCTGAGACCTGGCCTCCTCACCTCTCTCTGCCCCTGGCCACCAAGCTCCCTGAGAAACCTCCCTGTTTCTCTGATATTTATTTTAGAGGGAAATCCCTTAAAGTGCAAAGAGGACTCTTGACTTTGTTTTTAATGCTATGATTAGTGCACTAAATTTATTTTTAAAAAAGAAAGGAAAGAAAAACTGAAAGAAAGGGAAAGGAAGGGAAGAAATTAAAAGAAACAAGGAAGAGAGAGCAAAGAATATGCCCGCCCCCTCCCCTCCGCGGGGCTCCCAGTTTGGAAAGCCCCTTGACTTTCTCTAGGAAGCTGACAGATACCTTCCCCCTTGCTAATGGGTGAATGGGGCCTGCTGTCGCCTGCCTCTAAAATCCTACCTAGCCATCCACAGTCACTCACTCGGGCCCACGCCTTTCTCTTGCCTTCGCCTTCGCTGTTTGCTGTTTGATTTCTGTTCTTTGGGCCCGGCTTTCTCTGAGCTGCATTAGTGTTAGCGCTCAGAAATCACCATAATCATGAAAATAATAATAATATCCATAATGAATCTTTAACATACTACCTAAAGGGAACCTGCAATAAACTTGGAAAAGAAAAAGAAAAAATTTTAAATCCTGTTATAGGAGAAAAAAAGAGAAAAAATTAAAAAAGAAAAAAAAGGAAGAAAAGAATGAAACCTCCAACGTATTTTATCACTACCTATAGAAAAAAATCCTGCTTTGAGAGTATTCGTAATGCAATTTTGTTGTCGTTTGTTGCTGCTTATTTCACTAAGAAAAACCCAACAACTGAGACTGCCTAGCCCAGCCCGCCAGTCCTGTGCGCTTTTATTGTGCTTATAACCCCAGTAGAGTAGAACTAAATTGCACTGAATGTATAGTTAACTCTGTCTTGAATTCTCTGTTTATGCAACGTGCTTGAAAGAAAAAATGTTAAAAATATATCTATAATAATAATTTTTGGTCATTTGTCTTTATGTCCAGCTATGAATGTAGATTTTGTGTCCTGACAGCCCTGTTCCTGGTCCAAGTACTTTGTATTGTATACGTGAGTCATAATTAAAAAAAAGGAGAAAAATATTTGAAGGTGGAATGACTTGCTTTTTCTCTACAGCTTTCTCCCTTTCTCTACCCCTTCCCTCTGCATCCCCTTTCCCAACTTTCTGAAAAAGGCCTCCACAGACCAGGCTTTGGTGTGGGGGAACTCATGTGGGAGCAGCTGGGGGTAGCGAGGACAGGCGAGGCTGGGAGGGCAGGTGACAAGGGTGGGGTTGAGAAGAAGGGGAAGGAGAACCTCCATTGGCAGGAAGGGTATAACATATGCTCTTGGGGAAACCTTGGCTCCAAACAAAGTGGGTTTCTAGGTGCTAGGACCCCATTAGGAAGAAGGGTCTCATTTATTCATCCTCTGCTCAGCTCTGGGCTGGGCCCAGACAAAGAATCTGTCCCATGCCCCTCCAAAGCTAAACCTTTTCTTCCAGGGACTAGGGCTGAGGATGAGGCGATGGGGTTCTTTATACTCTTGTTCTTTGTGGCCAGCTCTTGACACCCAGCACTGGAATAATGAACAAGGTGGGTAGGAGTTTGAGGCTCAAGGCAGCTGACCTACCAGGAAGGCTTGGCTGGAAGATGCCTAGTGAGAAGAGCCCTGAAGTGACAGGGCTAAGGAGGTTTCACCCCGATGGGGATGGGGGTGGAAAAGGAAATGGTGAGCTGGACTAACCAGCCTGGGTCCACATCTTGGAATTCAGATTGTCAGCCCAGGACCTCATCCCTGCCACTCAGCCTCCTTGCATCCACTCCAGTCTGTTTTGGCTGACTCAAGCCTACTCCAGGCTTCACCTGGACAATTGGGCAGCTTGCCAGGTCACTTGGTATGGCCCACTGGCTTGGGGAGTGGGCTGTTGAGTAGACTGGACTGTCCCCCACCATGGCCACAGAGGAGTACAGGGAGTCTCCCACTGGAATGTCAATCCCTAAAATACAGAGTGGAAGGCTCAGGGATCCAGAAGGTAAAGGGGTCTTTTCTTTCTGGAAGTCCTATACAGAGACCTCTGTTTATGCCAATAAGATTCTGGTCAAATAATCTCAAATTCCACAGATACAAATCTTCTGACTCAGCCAGCAGACTGGAGAAAAGGAAGAGGAGGGGATCTTCTGGTTTCCAAAACCAGACCCCTATTCATATTTTCTCTTCTCTCTCCCTCTCCCTCTCTCTCCCAGATGTGGGCCCAGGCCAGACCTTGTTTGGTCTGTTTGGCCTGGCTTCAGTCCCTGACTCCCATAGAAAGTGGTCCCAAGTACTGGACTTAGTCTAATGGAGGCTCACAGGGGACTCCTGCAGCTTGAGAGAGGCTGCAGCTTGGAAGCTAATCCTTTGAGGGTAGTTTCCAGCAGGAGCTCTGGGGAAATCTACCCGAACCTTAAGTCCCCGTGGGGGTGCAAGTTGAGGAGACAGCCTGGTAACCCCATTAGCAGTGAGAGACACGGTTACCAGATATAGAGGCCCCCCGAAAGATATTTTGCTCCTCGCTCCTCGGGCCTTCTTATAGACATCCCCTCCGAGGGAGGACCGAGAGGGCCCTTTCATTTTCAAACGTGGAATTGTGATTGCTATTAATAGAAACACCTGGCCCATTAGCCAAGCGGGATGAACCCTCCGTTAAGTGGTTCCGAACGGCCTCGTCACGTTTTCCCCACGCCCAGCGCCCCATTCATCCCAGGCCCTGCTTAGCAATGTCCGTGGCCCCAAGCCCGCGTCGCGTCGCAGGGCGGGGTACATCTGGCGCCCGGCTTCTTTGGAAATGTCGGGTAACTGGAGGGTCAGACCAATGGAACCCCAGCCACCCCCTCATGCAGCACCAGCTCCTTCGCTCCTCCTGCCCACCGCCTCTGTTTTCTCGTTTGGAAAGAAAAAGAGGTAAAAATCCCGTTTTATGGGGGAACGGTAATTGCGAACGGGATGCGCTCCCTTTAGAAACGCGTCCTCCCAAAATGTTCCTGTCCCGCCGTCCCATTACTGGAACGGGTACCATTCTGCTGTAGATAGGACTTTTCCCCATTCTTTACTTTTTTTTATTAGCCAATCAAAGTGGCTTCCGAATGCTATTTGTGATTTGTGAAAAATAGTATCTTTCAAAATGCTGAGTTGTAGCATCTCGCTCATTTCGCTTTGAATTTATTATTCTAATCTCAACGGTAGAGACAGGATAATGTAGCTATTAAGTATTAAGTTGGGGGAAATTCGTTTCTCTGGCATATATATATATATATATATATATATATATATATATTCTCGGCATTTTCTTTCCCTTTGGATCTCTTATTTTAGAGGCCAAGAAAGGTGCTGATGTTGAAGAAATCTTGAGGGGGGGCTCAGGATGTAGTGAGCTTCTGAAGAGCTCTTTGGGGGGAACCCTTGAATGAAAGGTTAGGTTCACCACCCCCTTCTCATCTTCCCCAAATGAGATGCCCTAGTGACTTCCTGGTGGCTGGGAAAGTCGCCCCCAACCCCAGATAGAGAGAACTCAGGACAGGTTGTGCCATAGTCTAGAAGTAAAATTTCCGGTGAGCTGCCCGCAGTGCAGTGCTATTCCATTCTCCCCGCTGCCCATTGTGAAAAGCTGGGCCAGAGCTTCCTTGTCGTAATTTTTAACTACCTGTTATAAAATTTATGGGTGGGTTTGTAAAAGAAACGAGGTCTCTGCTTCCGGCTGAGGGAATTGTTTTGCTTACTGCTGAAGTTTGGGGAAGTGGTGAAGAATTCGCTGTTGGCTGGGGTGGGGGCACCCAGCATTGACTTTCGTGCCAGCTCTCAATGCCCGATCAAGAGAGCTGCTGGGCTTCAGATCTCCAGCAAGTGGGGAGAGTGGCTGAGCTGCCAACCTCCAGCAAATAGTATTTATTCTGGACTCCCCACATGGAGCTCACTACCAAAATTAGGGGTCTGGAGAAATAAAGCGGGGATGGCTGGAATTTTTATTCAGAAGATAGAGTTCAGGGCAGTAAAAAGGTTCTTTTAGGGCCTCAGAAACATATCCCAGATGTCTAGACACCAAACCAGGAAAATTTTCTGAAAAAGGCAGGTGGGTGTGGGAAACCAGACAAGAGAGGAAAGGTTTCAAACTGCCTTGCACCCCAAAGAAATAGGAAATGCAGACCAAAAGAATGGCCTTTAATTTTGCTTTTATGTCTAAAAGGATTGTAAGCTGCCATTAGAACCTTGGAGGCGTGGAGATCATACTAGCAATGATCTTTAGGGGAGCTAATGCCATTCTGTCCGAGAAAGAGACCTTGGGATGAGAGGTGCTTGGAGGGTTCTGGAGGACACCCCAGATTCTCAGCCCTTCTGCTGCCAGAACTGCCCAGGGCTGGTCTAGTCCTGTCAGCTCTTTTCATCACGTCCTGGGTAGCCTTGGTTGAGAGGCTGCCAGGTTTGCCACTTCTGTTTCTGTCCTGGGTGGGATGAGGGTTAATGAAAGACACCAGAGAAGGAAAATAGAAAGGATGTTGTTCTCTCCAGGCGTGGAGGGAGAGCGGTAGGGATGGTAAGAGTAACGCTTTTCGGGCCTTTAACTTCATTCCTCAGGTTACAAATCTTCGCAAAGCGTTGATTCCCCTAGATCCAACCTTATTACCTGCGTTTATGAAGGAAAATATTTAAAATTCGGCACAGTAAAAGGAGACAGCCTACTCCCAGCACCCGAACCCTTTCTTCTTTCCTCCCATGCATTCCCCCCCCCCCCGCCCTTTCGGCGCTTGCCTGGAGCAGCGAGCCCTTGGGGAGTGGGTGGCGGGCGGGGGTGGGACGGGGTGGGGGATGCTCCCTTTCCTAGAGAATTGGGTAAACATGGCCACCGCGGCGCCCATTTGCACACGCTACACAAATGCATCGCATTCCCGGTTGTTTGCAGAAAATTTACAGCTGAGTAATAAAAGTTTACGATCGACTCACAAGTTGGATTGGCCACAAGAAGTCATGTGGATTCCATCCATGAACGTGAACTTTTTATTGTGGTTTGTCCGTTCGGAGCGCTCCGCAGAACAGTCCTCCCTGTAAGAGCCTAACCATTGCCAGGGAAACCTGCGCGGGTCGCTCCCTTCATTATTAGTATTTTTTTATTAATCTGATTAATAATTATTTCCCCCCATTTAATTTTTTTTCCTTCCAGGTGGAGTTGCCGGAAACTGGGGGCACCTGGAGAGGGCGGGGATGGGAGGGGAAAGCAGGAGTTGAGGGCCTCTCCCTCTCTCCCCCCGGTCCTCTGGCCCCCAAGGGGCAGGAGGAATGCGGGAGCAGGGGTTGAGATAGGGAGCTGCAGATGCCTCCACCCCTTCTCTCAATCCAGCTCTCCCTCGGTCCCCTTCGCGCAACTCTCCTTAATTTTATTTGGTTTTTTGAGGATCTGCATTATTCTTTTTTATTTTTACATTTACATAAAGTATATGTGTGTATGTGCAGCTGAGACAGGCTCGGCAGCGGCACAGAATGAGGGAAGACGAGAGAGACAGAGTGGGAAAGAGAGAGGCAGAGAGAGAGGGAGAGAGGGAGAGTGACAGCAGCGCCCGGTAAGTGTTTCCTTATTGGTTCAAATATGTAACTAATGGTCCGTAGCTGGGTGGCGGTTTCAAGATAAGTACAGCAGCGGCTTGTCTTGGTTAGAGAGGGGAGGGGGGCTGACTAGAAGGTGGGCTCGTGGATAATTATGGGGAGGAAAAGTGGGGGGGGGGGCTAAAGTGGAATATTGGTAACTGGTAGTGGGGTGAACTGTTGTCCTGATGTCACTGTGCGCCGAAGTTGGGGATCGAGAGACTAGAGGACCTTGCCTGTGGGCGAAAGCCCAGGGTCTGCCCGGTGCCCGCTGTGTCTGTACCTGTTTATTCTAGATCTGTCTACTCTTGGTTAATGGGACTGAGACCCCAAGGAGGGGCTGGCTAAAAGCTCAAACTTCAGGGCCAGAGAGAGAACCTGTAGGCTTTGCTCATTGCCCCCCTGAGCGACGTCAGCCCCCCGACCCCCAAACAAACTTTCCTGAGCCCCCTCCCTGTCGGGCAGCTCCCTCCCTCCTGGAGAGCGCGTTCCCGAGAGCTCACACATGCGCAGTTGTGGGCCCAGGGCCGCGCCGCGGAGCAGGAAGCGGGTGTAGCTTGGCGGCCGGCGGGCGGCTGGGCCTGTTAATTGGCAATTAGGGGGGAGGCTGGTAGCTGGTGCGCGTCAGCCGTGGGGAAAGCGTCTGCCCACCCTCTGCTCCCGCCCCCACCCCGGTGAAGGGAAGGGTGGGAGGTGCCCTGCACTGCGGGTGGAGGGTGGGGGTGGGGGGATGCAGTACTCAAAAGCCATCTTGTGCTGGTGCTCGGAGACAAGAGGCCTATCCGCTTTCCTTTCCGGAGGCCGGGGACCTCCACCCGCAACCGCGGTCACTCCACCAGGGATGCCTAGTGAACTGTTTCACCCGCCTTCTTTGGCGACTGTAGGCTAGGATCTGCCCTATCCAGGACAGAAGTGGGAATGGGGAAGGCCCCAGGCTGGGCGGGGAGAGGCCAGGTCCTCTGGGTGCTGTGGCTGCAGCTAAGACTCACGGGGCAACAGGCTCTTGCAAGAGCAGCGTCTGAATTGGGTGGCCTGAGAGAGACCTGGGTGCTCAGGATCTTCCTTAATAATTGGTGCTAATGGTGTGTTGTGTAGTCTTAACCTGACACATCTGGTTTCATAACACAGTGGCTTAATTTCTTCCAAATGTACCTGGCCCTGAATATGTTGCCATTAGATGTATGACCCCGCCCTGCTCCTCGCCGGCCTGGTCGGATGCAGCTCTATACGTGAGTTTCGGTTTGTAAAGAGCAATGCACACGAAAATGCTTACAATCCAGGCAAACACCCCAGCGATGGGGAGAGGGCCTATTTCTGGCAAGATCGGATAGTCTGAGGGCCAAGCTTACCTTCAATACGAACCAACAGCACCCCATCCTCTTCTGAGCGCGACTGAGACTCCGAGCTAAGCCCGCGTGGGGGAGGGGAGCACTCCTCAATTTCCTGTTTAAACCCCCAGCTCATCGCCTGGGGAGGAGGTGGCTAGGGAGGAGAAACCCATTTTTATCAAATTGTTAAAACTATAATTCGACTGCATTCAAATCAAACCCCTTGGGCCCGAGCTGGCAGTGAATCTTCTCTCCCCTCCCCCTACAATCCCTTTCCCTTCCTCTCTTGCCCCCCCCCCCCAAAAGTCCCCTTTCGCAGCCGACATAAAGGCCTCTGAGGTATTCTCCCGAGGGAAGAAATGGCATTTTCTCTCCCCCTTCCTACCCACCCCCCCAGCACTGGTGTATGGGCAGAGGCGTCTGCCGAGGGGCTAATTTCGCGTTCCTTGTTTATGATCGAGAAAAACGCTTGGCTCTTCCCAAATGGGCCTAGCTCGCCGCCTGCTCGGCCGCCGCTCTCAGGCTGGCTGCTGCGGCGCGGCCAGAGGGCTGACGCCTCGGGGAACCAAGCTGTGGCGGGCCTAGACCGGAGGCCGTGGGATCTGAAAAGGGCAAGGGGAGTACTGTGGGACTTGGAGGGGCCCAGGAGGCCCGAAAATGGGAGCTTTTCTTCTGGAGTATTGTGGGAACCGCCGACCGGTGAGGCCTCGATTTCTCTTTCGTCTGTATTTTGTCCACCCACGCCCCTGTGGATCGCGGCAGTGTCGAGGGTGTTGTAGGGGGGCACATGTCTCCTTTGTTCGTCCCCTAAAGAAAACCGTTTCCGGAGAGGACTATTTGGGCCAGTATGATTCACCTGGGATATTGGAGGGCCCCCCTCCCATCGGAGGGGCGGGCCTGGGCGAGACTGGGGTATTTTTCTAGGCCCAAGGGGATGTAGTGTAATGTGCTAACCCAAGAGATGTCTGGGTGCTAGGGTGCGAGGTTATCAGCTAACAGCATCACTTTGAGGTAGTGTTGTATTTTTATCGATTTCCTGTCCTTTTCTTCGGCCCCCACCTTTCTCTGTGCCTGATACTCCTCATGAGACAGGGATGTAGAGAACACATAGTAGTGGTTTTCCACTTGCTCTGTCTGCCCAGGGGATAAAACAGTCCTGTGCTTCCGAGTTACTGTTTTCTTCCCCTTTTCCCTCTCCTCTGACACTCAAGCAGAAACACAAGAGGGGTCACCAGTGGCAACCCTCAACTCCAGATCCTCTGTTGGTGTGGTCCTCACTGCAGGAGAGCTTTTCTGTGATTATCTAATAATAGCCAGGGTGGCTGAGAATAGACTCTGGCTCAAGGACTCTGCACACCCAGACCAAGAGACTGGGCAGAAACACAGATCTGTGGATCAGCGAGGCCTGGCAACTTTCCCCAGAGCCCAGGGCCCCAGTGTTCCCTCTGAGCCCACTTTTTGGACACCCTCAGATGTGCCCTTTGTAGGGCTTTGTCATTCCGGCCATCCACTCTATTTCATGCACCAGTTCCTAGCTAAAGAGAAATGGGCAGAGCAAACCCTTTCCCTTCTTGGTCTGACAGTTGTGACCCCCACGGAGAATGCAGAATGCGACCTTGTTTGAAGAAGGCGACCTTGTTGGGTTGGCTGCTGTGTTCTGAAACCAAGCTCTGTGGCTTTATGCATGTATTATATACAGGCTCAAATATACTGGCGACTTAGATTTATGCATGACTATATACTCATGTTTCTTCAGTGCCTAATTGTATATTACCATGCCTATATTTGTTCAAACACCGTTTTATGTGCATGCAAAATTTTGTTAGTCCTTACTATTTGAGAGTGAGCTCATGAGAGCTCTAGGTGCACTAAGGATGCCCTCTGTGCTCTTCTGCTGGAAATGTGTGTGTATGTGCGCTGGAATCGGCGTATGCGGGGTTCCAGTAACCAGTGGATGCTAGAAGGGCTTTCTTTCTCGGGCATTACTGCTTTTACTGTTCAAGGTTTGGGAGAACACTAAATCCTGTCTGCTTTCCCTCCTCATCTTTCTATGTACTCCTCAAATTTCAGACTGTCTTAGAAGGAAAGCTCAGGCATCTTGAAAATGAGATTTATCAGCTTGTTCATGGGTGTCACGGGCCTGTAAGCTGTTCTGAACAGCCAGGGATAGAGTCTGACTCTGAAAGTTTCCCTGGGGCTGTGAAGGGATTAGAGTGGTTTAGTAAAGTAGCCTTCAGTAGTGGTCTGGAATGGCTTTAGCCAGGGTGCTTAGAGACGCTGGTGAATGAAGAAGGCAAGCCAGAACTGATAAGGTGAACATCTCTCCCTCTCCCTAAACTCTCTGCCTATTCATCGTACTTCAGACTTGCCTGTGTCTTAAGGGCCAATTAGAAGTTCTCTAGATCCCCTAGATATCCAACTCTGGTTACTTGTGTCACTGCATTTGAATTCGGTCTGCTGCCTGAGCTGCTGTCAAGGCCAGGCCAGCTGAGAAAGCTGGTGGAGGCTCTTTGGGAGCCTCCAAGCTGGGCTTTCCTGGCTGGGGCCTGGGGAACTAAGTATGTACGGCTGCCGGGAATTAACCGGCCTCCTTTCTCATCCTTTCTTGCTTCCAGGGCCAGGAAAACAGAACGGAGGGGAAATAAATGTCAATGGAAAGCCCTATAAAAGAAAGTAAGGGCAGGAACAGGGCTAGGGGGTTTTCCCCATCCACTCCCAAAGCACTCAAGTCCCTCCCAGGAATTTCATGTCCAGAGAAGCTGTGCCCAAGAATGCAGTTTTCTTCTACCTTCCTTCTGCTGTCACTGAGGGCTGCCTTGGGCTTTTGACTGTGACCACCCCATTGGGGCACTGGGGTGACATTACCCCAGAATGGAGCCCTTTACCCAGCCCAGGGCCTCTGCCACGGTGCTGCAGCCGCCTCTGTTTATTGTGTCTGTGACTTGTTTACTTGTTTTGTCTGCTGCCACCCTGCGTCTGAAACCCGCCAAACCAGCAAATTTGCCTTGGAGAACAAAGTGCTGGGCGATCCTGAATTCCCAACCCCTGCTAGCACCCCTCCTGCCCATTCCAGCTCCTTCATTTTTACTTTCCGAGAGGAGGAAGCAGAAATTGTCCTAAAATAGGGCAACTGTTTATAGGGTCAAGGGAATTATGGGGACACCATAAACCTCTGGGTATCCTAATGGTAGAGAGACTTATGAGCAGACCTCCTCTTGCCTCTAGTTTTTCTTCCTTTTCCCTGGTAACTGCTTGGGTAAGGGGGCCAGAATCATTGAGGAACTTGAGCCCTCCTCATTAGACTCCTCCAATCCTTTCGGCGGGAGATTCCCGGAGACATGGTTGTTGGTTTTAAATCAGGTTAATGTTGGAGGATTCATAAAGCTAGATAAAGCACGTTGATCTTCTACCTTCATTTTCTTCAACCTCCTCCCCAAATAGCAGCAAATTTAAACAAATCTTACAAAATTAAATTGCCCTTTCCCTAAAGATCCTGTAAATCTCCAGTCACCCCAGGTGTAGAGTCAATGAGACTGGTTCGCCTTTAATTTTGCTCCTGGCTGTCAAATCTAAGAATATCATCAAAGTAAGAAATACTCTTGTTTCTGAAATTAACTTCCTCTTCCCCATTTCCTCTCTTTTCACCAGCATAGGTTAAATGGTCCTTTTAGATTACAAACAATAAAGGATAAAATTATTTGTAGGGAAATAAGGATGATGTTTTATTGTTGGCTTACTGTTCCAGAGCATAATAACATTTTATTTTCAAGTGGGAAAATTTAGATCAGGAAGAAAAAGAAAGGAGAAAAAAAGTGAAAAGAGGATATGTGTATCCACACACAAAGCTTCTCCTGCTATACATAACATCTATGACATTTACAATTTCCCTATGACAATTCACTATGATGTCATAAATGCCAGGTCCTTGATTTTTACAATTCTTATAAACCTCCAGAATGGGCCCAAGCAATGTTCTGCATTGAGGAGCATAAGAAAACCCAGAAACTGGAGATCCTTTGGTCTAGTGCATGGCAGTACACAGTTTCTGCCCCTCTTTCCTCTTCTGATAACCTCCTGAGGTCCAAGGCTATTCTAAATAATGTGAATTTTAACTTTGCCTCCTTAGCCAAATAGAGAGAGTTGCTTTGCCTTCCTGAAGTATCCTAAGGTGGCTGAGGTCCTTCCTAGTCCCCAACAGGGATGAGATCCAGGGTTCCCAAACTTTCCACAGGCCGCCTCCTCAGCTGATACTCATCTGCTTGGCATAAAGGTGGAAGACTTGAGAGCTAGGCCCCCCAAAGTTAGGATTTTTTCGAGATGGAGACAGAAGAGGGCTCAGAAAAGGGCTTTCTGGGTGTAATGGAGCAGAGATACTTGAGATCTATTTTATTTTTTAATCTTCATGGAGAGAAGCCAGGAGTTGAGATGCCAGACAGAATACCAGTGTGAGAGGTTGTGTTTGCTGATCTTAGCAGCAGTAAGTAGGGTGCCAGAAAGGAAAACCCAGGCAAAAATACAGAAAGAAAAAGGAGAGAAAATATGTCATGAGTTAGTAAAGTCCCTCCATATACCCTTTTTCTCCGTTGAATTGCAATAAAGCAAAAGTAACTCCAGCAGTCTTTCAACCTCTTCTTAGCTCAAAAAAGGAGTCACTAGTGCAGGCCTCTGAGGTGTTTGGGGCAGCTCTAAGCAGTTTGAAATGCCCCATCTGGCCCCTTCCTCCTCCTCCTCCCCTCCCAACGGACCCCCAGTTCCCTTCAGCTGGTTAGCCTAAATCTTGTGCACAGAATATCAGCACCCACAAATGGCATCTGTTTCCGGGTTGAATGTGTCAAATTTCACTTTTTCCCAAGTGTCTTCAAGCCTGAACTTTGAAAGGAAGAGTGTTCCTGTGTGGAATGCAGTCTGTATATGAAGGGAGCACTGCCCAGAAAATTTCCCCACATCTATGAAAAACTGGGAGCCCCTTGGATTAGCCATCTTTGGAGTCCCTAAGCAGTTCCCTGGCAGACTGTGAAGCTCTCTGCAATCCTTTCACTCCATTCTAAGGAGATCAAAGGAGCTGGTACACAAAACACCAGCCATTTGGGGTAGGTTTATTTTTTAATTTTAAATAAAAAATGTAATCATAAACCAGTAGGACCCGCTAAGCATTCACTCTAGAACAGCAAAGCCTTAACCAAACAGAGCTCTTTTGAGGTGAGCTGAGCAATTATTGAAACTCGGTTTTCTCTGTAAGAGGGATTTTGGCCTTTGCCCAGTGGTATAAAAGAAACTGACAGAGCAACTGCTTTTCTCAGGCTCTGGAAAATTAGGGGTGGTGTTGGGCATTCTGGCAAGATGCAGTAGCTTCTAGGCAGCCAACTGCCTTGCCCATGGAGCACTGAGTCTTGCAGCTCCAGGGTTGGGGTCCCTAAGCAGCTTCCGGAGGCGCCAAGCTGTAGTTAGTTGCCTGCCTCCCGCCAGCGGCCAGGAATGGAATACGTGTAGCAGTGCAAGGGTGAGTCACAAACGTCCTGGCAGAGTTAGAGATCTGGAGAGACAGAGAGACAGACACAAGGTTGTCCACCAAATAAAAATTGTGGATCTCATCCTGCTCACTTCCAAGTGACTTGCCCCACGAAATTAAATTGATATATTTCCCAGAGCAGAGTGAAGTGCCAAGGCAAGCAAGGGAAGGCCTGCCCAAGAACCTCTTCATGGAGGAGATCAAGTCCCAGCCATCCCCTCTGCAGTCCGGAGCCCAGAAACTCCCTAGTGTTTCCCTGTTCTTGAGCCAGGCAAGGCTGGCTGAAAAAGCAGCGCTTAATGCACCCTAGGAAATCCCCAAATGCCCAGTTCCAGTGCTACCTTTAGCCTTGGGGGGACTCCTGGCCAGTGGCTGCACCCCACTCAGGCCCTAGGCACAGGCAGTAAATTCCTCTCCTATAATTAGTGCTCATGAAAAGCATGTGTTTAGATCGGTGAGAGGAGGACTGGGCAGTGACTGAGCAAACTTGCCTTCTTTATTCCTTTTCTTCATTTTTGAATTTACTAATTACAGTTCCAAAAGCAAAACCTGCTCTTGACACCAGGCTCCCTAATGTGGAAGGCCTGGGGGGGGGTGGCGCAGAGCAGCTCAGAGTACTGCTGGCCTGATGGGGGTGTTCTCTCATTTCTCTTGGCTTGTTTTATAGAAACAAAGAGAGAGTTCACTCCCTCCTCCCCAAGACTTCTGCATATTTACAGAGCTCAACTGCAGTTTTAATAAAACATCTGTTCTTGCTTCTGCTGATGAATTTCCATAATTGTTTTCAGACAAATTTCACAGGAAAATATAAATATATCTAGAAAAATCCAAGTCCCAGCTGCCCCCCATAGCCATTCTTTGCCAAAAGAATTAAAATGAACATGGAATTAAAAAGGAAAATAATGTCTAGTGGAGGAAAGATCGGACTCATTTGACCTGCTCTCCCCCCTTGGAGCGAATCCTCCGACAAAATTTCAGCTGCATAATTAAAGATCTGACTGAAAGGAGGCTTCTTTCCCCAGGAACGTAAGGTGACAGAGGAGAATGTGTCGGAAATTAATTTTTCCATAAGTATTTAAGCAGTGGGAAATGTATTTGTATTTCTGTTTCCCCTCCACTCCCCCTTCCAGCATTTCTGCTTTTTTCTCCCAGCAGCTGGTTTCTGTTCATTATAAATCGGCGAGACCTTTCAGTCTCTGCCCTCTGTTTAGGGACGTAATAAAACACTTAACTTTCCGGGCCTGAGACTTACATTCTGCTCTTCAGGTCGCCCACCCCCGAAGCCCACCACCTTTAGGCCCCAAAAGAGAGTGTACGCAACTTTGGGGCCCCTTTCCTCTTCAGATCTGGTTAAGGAGGGGCTCAGAGAAACTCAGGCATCCTTGCTGGGGGGCTGAAGCACACAAGCTTCCCAACAAGCCACTTCTTTTCTTTCAAGGTATCCATAAAAGCCATTTTAAAATACATAGGAAATCAACACTCATTGAAAGCAAAACCTCATTAAGGCATCCTATCTTCCATCATTCAATTTGTTGTACATTGCAACAATTTAATATCTTGAAAGAAATACCACTGACATGATTTATCCCTCTAGCAATCTTGCTCCAAATGAGGGGGGGGTAACTGTTTCTTCTGGCCTCTTCTACTTGTTACACAGCTACCTTCAGGGCAGAAAAGGGTTGAGAACTATGAGAGAGGCTACTTTTGTCCAGGGGTGCACTGACTTGTTCCTTAGCTCAGCCCCAGGGTACTCCCCTCCTTGTTTTTCCTCTCCCTCTACCTCTTGTCCTCCAGGGGGACTGGAGCCCCAACCAGCTGTTGGAAACCTCTGCCCAGGCATGCTATGAATTTGAGGACAGCTGGATTCAAGAGCAAAAATTAACTCACAGTGGCGTTATGTTTGTTATACCTGCCATGTCATCCCCAAAAGAAATAGCTCCTCTTAAAAATTTCTTTTTAATGTGAGTACCCTCCTCTAGCCTTGCAACTTTATCACCTCATGAAGAAGAAAGTGTAGTCCAAAGGAAAGATCCTTTATAAGGATCTTTCCTTTAACATTCTAAATGCCAACCAATTTCCTTTCTTTCTAAAGGAAGAGGGAAGGGCTCCGATTTTAAAAAGGAAACACAAACTGGCAGAAAGACTCTTCCACCCCCTAACGAGGTTTCATGTATTAACTAACATGTCTGCACCAGCTCCTGCACACACTGTCTGCTTTTGGGTTTGAAACTTTATTTTTCCCCCCTAGCGACACTCCAGGGAAACCTTAACGTTATAGAAGATGAATAAACGAGGTTTTTTTCCCAGCGTAGTCCCGTTTATGGCTTTATTGCTACCCATTGATTACTCCGCTTTGTTACACAGAAGGAAAAGATCATAAAATCCAGGCGACATCCGGGTTCTTATTATAGTCAGCACACACACACACCTCCCAAAAAAGTGAGGGGAAAAATATGAGCTTTCATTGCTACTTGTGCACACATGTCAACTGAAAGCATTTTCTGCCTGTGTCATGATATCAAATTAAGTTTGGATCTGGGGAAAAACTCCATTTATATACCTTCAGCTATTTCAGTTTGCCCACTGCAGCACCCTCTGAAACTTAGGACAGACCCAGCTGCCTTTTCCTAACATTTTCTCCCCTATTTTAGCCCCAAGATGAGAAAAACTGGGCTAGAGGCTACTGAGAGTCCAGGGGTGGCTGGCACTTGGACAAGAACTCCCCTGGAGCCCTTTTCCAGAATCCTCAAGCCTCAGAACTCAGGTCCAGGGGCGCCTCCCCTGGCAGGGCAGTGAATCCAGAGGAGATAGAAGGGTTCTGACCTCTGCAGAAGCTTGAGCCTGCACGAAGCTCACTGTCCATCAGAACCCTACCAGTCCTCTCTGGCTGGATCCTGTGTGAATTAGCCCACCGGTCATGGCTAGCTCCAAATCATAAATTTTCACCAACATAAACAGGAGTTGATGTCTCTAAAAAGACTCTCGGAGTTTTCTTTCTCCTCCCTTTCTTCTCTCTGCCCCTTTTTCTCTCTTGTTTAATGTATTTGTATACATTTTCCCCTTTAGACAAAAATGCTCTAAGAGTTTTCCCAAAAAGAGTGTCCTGAGGAGGAGGAGGAGGAGGAGGAGGCAGAAAGGGGCTGGGAGACAGAAAAGGACAGAGATGCTCCCTTCGCCCACTTCAGCTATGCCACCGTACACTACAGTCTCGCCCTCGCCCCTTAAACTTCATGGCTTCCCATATATCCTCTAAACTTGACTCAGTCACACTCTCTTTCCTCTGGGAGCCATGCTTTATGAAACTTCTTTCTCCTTTTGATTTTTGTAATTATTAGAAAAAATACCTCAGTTCAGTGATGGAGACTCACTCTATGGGGTGTCAAACCAGGATTTGCTATAGTATTTGAGAACTCCCTGAGCTAGGAAGGAGATCTTCCCATGAAGAAATCAGGATGTAGTTTTAAATGGAGCTGATATTAAAGATGAAATTAGATTGAAAATACAGGTATTTCTTCCACCCAGGCTCTGGCAACAACTGAACAAAATTAGCTTGGGTTGAGAGATTTCCAGGAGTACATCTCTCTTTCTGTGGGCCCAAGGCTCTACTAAAGGACAGACACCCCTGTTTTACCCCCAAACCAGTTCCTTTACACATATATTTCAAAAAGAAATCCAAGTCTTACTTTCAAAGCACACACTTAGTCTCAACTAGGGAATCAACAGAAGCAGAAGCGATTTTTTTCCCCCTTCTTGACATCTGGCTTGTGATTGGCTGGAAGGGGGTCAGCTGACTTTGTCATTTTGTCTGTCCTGGATTGGAGCCGTCCCTATAACCATCTAGTTCCGAGTACAAACTGGAGACAGAAATAAATATTAAAGAAATCATAGCCCGACCAGGTAAAGGCAAAGGGATGAATTCCTACTTCACTAACCCTTCCTTATCCTGCCACCTCGCCGGGGGCCAGGACGTCCTCCCCAACGTCGCCCTCAATTCCACCGCTTATGATCCAGTGAGGCATTTCTCGACCTATGGAGCAGCCGTTGCCCAGAACCGGATCTACTCGACTCCCTTTTATTCGCCACAGGAGAATGTCGTGTTCAGTTCCAGCCGGGGGCCGTATGACTATGGATCTAATTCCTTTTACCAGGAGAAAGACATGCTCTCAAACTGCAGACAAAACACCTTAGGACATAACACACAGACCTCAATCGCTCAGGATTTTAGTTCTGAGCAGGGCAGGACTGCGCCCCAGGACCAGAAAGCCAGTATCCAGATTTACCCCTGGATGCAGCGAATGAATTCGCACAGTGGTGAGTTTTACAGCTCCGAGATATAAATTAAATAAACTGAACTGGCTTTATGACCGGCTTCCCTAGAAGAACGGGCGGAGAGAGTTTTTTATGGCCCCATAAAAACAATCACGCTCGTCTCCTCGCCGACGCCGAGACAGGGCCCCCTCTTCTGCCCCCTCTGCTTGCCTCCCACTCTGGCTCACAGGGGCCTGGCCCCCTCGGCCCCTGGCGGACTGGAGGACTCCACTGCGAGCTGAGGGGGCAAGAACAGGGCAGGGGGGTGAGGGGAGGGAGGAGAGGGTAGGGAGTCCCCCAAAGTCGAGTTAGGCTGAGAAGAACGTACAGGGAGAGGACAGAATGGAAAAGTGGGGAGAAGTTTCCAAAGAGGTAGGGTGCTTAGAGGGGTGGGGGGAGCTCAGTCTTGGGAAATGGGCCCTTATCCTCACTATTTGAGTTTTCATCAGCTTTTAGACTAGCAGCTTTTTGCCTCTTTATTGCCCTGCCCACCTTCTGGCGGTTCTTTGGGACATATATCTACCTCCTATGGGAGGACTATATAAGTTGGGGTCCTGGCTGTAACCCCAGTGGGGGTGGGGCAGAGCAAAAGGCTTTAGAAGGCTGGAGCTTGAGGGGGCTGCGATCCGCTGGCCAAGTTGGGAAGTCAGGACTTTGCTAGGCATAGTGGTCTTCGAAGGACGCTTTGCTGATCGTTTTTAGTGTGTTTTGTGCCCGGATCTCTAGGGGTTGGCTATGGAGCGGACCGGAGGCGCGGCCGCCAGATCTACTCGCGGTACCAGACCCTGGAACTCGAGAAGGAATTTCACTTCAATCGTTACCTAACGCGGCGCCGGCGCATCGAGATCGCCAACGCACTCTGCCTGACCGAACGACAAATCAAAATCTGGTTCCAGAACCGCCGGATGAAGTGGAAAAAAGAATCTAATCTCACGTCCACACTCTCGGGGGGTGGCGGAGGGGCCGCCGCCGATAGCCTTGGTGGAAAAGAGGAAAAGCGGGAAGAGACAGAAGAGGAGAAGCAGAAAGAGTGACCAGGACAGTCCTTGCCACCCCTCTCTCCCCCCTCGCTCATCCCAGCTCTCCCCTGATCACACACTCTGTATTTATCACTGGCACAACTGATGTGTTTTGACTCCCTAAAAACAAAATTAGGAAGTCAAAAGTGGACCTGAAAGTCAGCTCTGGACCCCCTCCCTCTCCGCACAACTCCTCACCATGCGCCTCCTCCTTTTAGCTCTTTCTCGGTCTGTCTGCAGGCCCTTTCCCCCCGCCCGGGCCTGGGGGGCACATTCCCTGAACCTCGCTTCAGACCCCACAGATTTTCCTCCAAATGAGGTCGTGCCCCACCTCGAACCCCCCTGCCCTCGCCCAGAGAGCCGGCTCCGGGCCTGAGGCCTCCACTCTAGGGCCTCAGAGCCTGGCCTGGCAGCCTGGGAGGGTGGGAGGCCTAAGGAGGGGCACCTTGGCCCCACAGAACCCCCAGGGCCTCCCCACAGCCCTCGCCCAGCCCCTCTGCCCCAGCAAATGCCCAGACCAGGCAAATTGTATTTAAAGATTCCTGGGAGTCATTATGGCATATTACAAACTGTGACCGTTTCTGTGTGAATATTTTTAGCTGTATTTGTGGTCTCTGTATTTATATTTATGTTTAGCACCGTCAGTGTTCCAATCTCATTTTAAAAAGGAAAAAAAAAAGAGGGAAAATTACAAAAAGAAAAAAGTGAATGACATTTGTTTAGCCAAGTAGGAGAAAATAAATGAATAAATAAATAAGTCCCCTCGTGTTACCCTCCTGTACAAATCCGACCTCTGGATCCGTTCTCGAATATTTAATAAAACTGATATTATTTTTAAAAGTGTATATCCGCATTTCTGTCAATTCGCTCGCCCGCCGGCTTGGAGCAGGCTCCAAGCGCTCGCTCGTCTGCCCGCCCGCCGAGCAAAACCCCAGGCCTCTGCACTCGCCTTCTCCGGGGGCCTGGAGCAGACTCCCGGCCTCGGGCTCTTCCTGTGATCGCGCTGGGGGGCTGGGAGGCCTCTCAGGGCTCCCTACGCCGAGCAGCCCACACCCGCAAAAAAGGCCGCTTAGGATTTCGTTGGGGGCGGGGGGGGGGTGCCTGGATCAGGTCGGACTCCAAGCTCCACGCGGGCCTTTCTTCTTGTCACTGATAGTCTAGCTTCCTGGGCTTGTGAAGCCAGAGCCCCGAAAGGCCAGAAAAAGCACTATCCGCGCACCGCGGTCGCCCTCGCCCACCACCAGGAGCTTGGGGAAGGGGACGCCGCTCTAGCAAGCCCTCCCCACCCAGCCCGCGCCGAGCCCGCTGTTGCGAAATGTGGTGGAGGCGGAGAGGAGAGCGGAGGGGAACAGAAGACCGAGCGATTCGAGTCCTTCGGCAGGGATTGTAAGAGTCAAGGACATCAGGAAGGAGAAAGCCTGGAAACTGAGCTCTCGCCTGCGCTGGGACTCCAGAGGTGGCCGGGACAAAATTCCTTCTTCTTTGCAGCTCCAGCCTGTCTGATTCCTTCCTCTTCTTTCCTCAAACCTGGCGGGTGAGGGGAGCACATCACCCTTAACCATTTCTGGCTCCCAAGCCCAGGCAGAGAAACCTGAGTGGGCCTAAGGGAGAGGTGGTGAAGGGATCTTCCCTGAGAGAAAAAAATCTGCCAGAATTTTCCAGACTCTCCAGATCCCCACCAGCGCCCCCTCAAGCACCTCCACCAGAGAGAGGGGGCTTCTCTTGGCAGAGGCAGAGATGTGTAGGGAGACAAGCAACCAGGAAAGAGTAAACCTTGAGAGTAGGAGAGGATCAAAAAGGGCACAGAGGACCTAACTAACCAAAGGCTGCCATGGTTGCACAGCCGCCTGTCCTGCCCAGCCACCAATCAGGTCGTCTCCATGCTTCCAAAAATCTTAGAAATTACTCTATAATGGGCCTTCTGGATTCAGGTTCCTGGGAAACCTGGCCTAGGGGTCTTTTCCCTAAAGACTGAAAACAGGCCTTTTCCTCTGCCTTGCTCTAGTAATATTTGTGGAGGCTTGAATCTTGCCTCTCTATGGCCTCAGGTAACATCTATTTTCTGTCTGAGGTATCTGCCATCTGTACAACATGAGGATCACACACAAGGATGCAGAGCAGTCTGCCATCCCATTGTGTCTGGTTCTCCTCAACACAAACATGCACATCCATACACACACATGCAAATGCATAAACACATGCACATCCATACACATGTACACACACACACACACACACACACACACACACACACACTTGAAAATTGCCTGTTGCCATTCAAAGGTTCCTGGCATGGTGAAATATAACCAGATCATTCTGGCTGCTCACCTCTAGGCTTATCCCAGAGTCCGCAGCACTGTCAGCCTCCTGTCTTGCTTATCTAAGTGTGCTCACCCAGGAGCCCCCCCCCCCCTTCTTGGGTATCCTGTCTGCCTCTTCAGAGGCTGAGGTCCACTTTCCCATGCTGACATTCACTTCTTCAGCAGTGTTGGGGGCCTCTGAGGCAAGGGATCTCAACCTTTGGTTTGAGGAACCTGAGAGAAATCCACTTGGTTCTCCAACCTAGGCCCCGGCTACCTTTTCACTCAGCCATTTTTGAAGTTTAGCAGACTTAGGAATTAGGTAGAACGGGCTATACATTACAAAAATCACCGCTGTACATCGTAAGTGAGACCTCATCTCTTCTCCAATTTAAGTAGAATTGCAAGGGCCTGCCCAGGAAATCTTTGCAGCAGCAACTACTTTCTCCACGCGATAGAAAATCCAGCCACCAAAAGGCGAGCAGCAGCATCATGATGCAATTCCTACAAGTAGACACCAGGTGTCGCTGTGGGCTCGTTGTCCCGCCTACCCCCCAATTCCAAGAACCATTTTTTTTTTTCTCCCCCTTCCCTCTTTTTCTCTGTCTCTGACTCCCTCTCCCCCTTGGTTAGGCTTTGCCAACATATCAAGATGCGTTTCTCCGGCTTCCATCACTAACCTCCCGGAGGTCATCAAGCCAAATTTATGAGTGGCCGCTCGAGTCACGTGACTCTATTTAAGGCTCCCTTATTTGGGAAGAGCGCATAGGATAAAGAAAGAGATATCTCCACCTATAAATTGTGCACTTTGGAGAACAAAAACCCCTCAACTTCAAAGAGTCACAAATCACCCTTAATCAAAAAGGGTGCAGAAATTTTTTTTGGGCCCTCCCCGCCATGAGCTCCTACGTAACCAATTCATTCTATAAGCAGAGCCCCAATATCCCTGCCTATAACATGCAAACTTGTGGGAACTATGGATCGGCCTCAGAGGTGCAGGCATCCAGGTACTGCTACGGCGGATTGGATTTAAGCATCACTTTCCCACCGCCTGCGCCTTCCAACTCTCTCCACGGGGTAGACATGGCTGCCAACCCCCGGGCTCACCCGGACCGCCCCGCCTGCAGCGCTGCGGCCGCTCCGGGACACGCTCTGGGCAGAGACGAAGCGGCTCCTCTGAACCCCGGGATGTACAGTCAGAAGGCGGCTCGCCCGGCGCTGGAGGAGCGAGCTAAGAGCAGAGGGGAGATCAAAGAGGAGCAGGCGCAGACAGGGCAACCCGCCGGACTGAGCCAGCCACCGGCCCCGCCACAGATTTACCCGTGGATGACCAAACTGCACATGAGCCACGGTAAACTTTAGGACTTCATTTTGCGCGCTCGGGTCCGCCTGGGTTTTATAGGCCATGCGGGGCAAATAAAGAAAAAAAACCTGCGGCCATAAATTTTACGATCCAGGCATCAATGGCTCGTAAAACTGTCCACTAAAAGGCTTAGAGGCTGTGTGCGCCCAAATTTACGACGACATAATTGGATCATAGGAACAAAACGTGTATAAAAGGCAATATTCAATTTTTGGGGGAGAGGGAGGGAGTTAAAAAAATAGAGGGATCTGAAGGGTGAGGAGCGCGGGGCTCCAGAGCGGGGATCCCCCCGCGGCTCCCTCCTCCCTCCCCTGCGGAGCCGGCTCGGCCGGCGCTCGCGGCTCCGGAGGATCCCAGCGACTCGGGAGGGGCGGGAGGGGGGTCCCCGGTGCTCGGATCTCGAGAGTGCTTATTGTTCGGTCCGAGCCTGGGTCTCCCTCTTCCCCCCACACCCCCCTCAGCCCTCCGGCTGCGGAGTGAAGGCCGCGGTGGAAAGTTTCCTGCCCGGGCGGAGGCGCCTTTCCCGGGGCTCGGCTGGGCCGGGCCTGTCCGCTGCGGCCCGCCGGGCCTGGCTCGCGGCGCTGCCTCTCTCTCCGGCTGCGGGTGGGGGCTGGGGACAGGGATGGGGCGCTGGGGCACTGCACACTATTCACCCCTTCCTGGCGTGGGGGGATTTATGTTCCAGAGACGGATGGCAAGCGGTCCCGAACCAGTTACACGCGCTACCAGACTCTGGAACTCGAGAAAGAATTCCACTTTAACCGCTACCTCACTCGCCGTAGGCGCATAGAGATCGCCAACAACTTATGTCTCAACGAGAGACAGATCAAGATTTGGTTCCAGAACCGCAGGATGAAGTGGAAGAAAGATTCCAAAATGAAAAGCAAAGAGGCTCTTTAGAGGCAGCGGGAAAGCCCGCGGAGAGCACCCCAACCGGCTTGGTCCCTGCAACTTTCCTTTTCCGGTTTTTCTCTGTGTGTTTTGGGGTGGGGGGCAGGAGCTGGAGCTTTGGCTTCTGAGCCTCACAGACATAAGCGCTCTTCCTTGGTATTCTGCATCCCCACTGACTGGGTTTCCCAGGGGCTGCCTGCTCTGCCTGTCTCCCTTCGGCTCAGCAAAGTTCATTTAGCTCTGCAGGGCATCTAGGGCCCAGGGCTATCTCTGCAGAGTCATTTCATAGGCTAGTGCTAAACTAAACTCAACCTGGACCACCTCTCTGGTCCCCAAACCCCTGCGAGGCCCACCTGAATTAAAGTGGGCCCAGTCTGCTGCAGGCCCCTCACCCCAACCTCCTTTCCTCTTTTGTTTCCAGCTAGGTGAACCAGAGGACCCCAGACCTCAGGCTGGCAGGTGCTTGTTACTGACAGAGTCCATTGTCAGCCTGGGGTACTTCTTCATGGTGACTAAGTTTAGTCTTCACTTATTAATGTTTGCATATGAAAGGGGGAGAAGACTGATAGGTTGCCCTATCCTCTCCACATTTTCTTCCCCTACCCCAAAGTCGGGGAACCTCCCCAGCCCTCGCCTGCTGCATGCCCTCTCAGGCCCGCAGCCCCAGCCGCTAGCTAGCTCAACTATTGGGGCTTTCTGCCATTTGGACCCTGGTGAGTGGTCCTAGAGGCTCCTTGCTGTCCCAGTTCCTGCCATGACTTTCTTGCCCTGCTACCCCATCGCTGTTCCCCAACTATTTATTGACTCCAGGTCCTTCCTGAAACTATATTTTGTCATATTAAATAAAGACAAAGAGAGAACAGAATTAAAGATTCGGCGGCTCCTGTCTGTTTAGGGCATGTTTGCGTAAAAGTGTCTAAATGGGTTGTAAAGTATAGCATAAGGCCCAAAATCTTTAAACCTCTCCTTTAAAAGAAATGTTTTAAGTTGTTTCTAGGGGCTGCAAGAGAAGGAGTTGAAACTGAGTTCCTTTTCTGATTCTTGGCTCCAAAAATGACTTCTGGAGAAAGAGAAAGGCACAGGCCTCTTGTATTTGCTTTTCCATCTGTACTGAAGTTTCTACACTGGCAGTAGCTTCACTCCATGCCACATCTAACGGGCAGGGACCAGTGGCTCCGCCGTGCATGGTGCATGCTCAGACTGAGCCCTTTGGGCCTCTGAAAATCTCTCCTGGGTCTCCAAGGTGGTCCTTGAAGGGGCTTTACTGGGCAGAGGGAGTGTGAAGCCACAATCTAGAAACCCATTTAGCCATAGAAGGACCCCCTAGAGAAAGTTGTACTGCTTGGTAGAGAGGTATCATGCTGAAGGAGTTGGCAAGTTTTACTTCAGCTTTCTAAGATATCAGGGGAGAAGGAAGCAGGGAGAGCAATATGTTAGATGTACTTGCATGGCCAGAAATGTTCAGACTGTTTCCTAGAGCTAGGAAAATTAACTGGGTTGGGAACTGTATAGATCAGGGCCAGAGTCATGTCTGTTCGCCATCATTTATCTCAATCTCTGAGATTTTGTTTGGAGAGAGAGGGTGACTTACAGGGAATAAAGAAAGGCAGCTAATTCAGGTGGTACCTTAAGGCTGGCCTAGGCCCACTCTGCTCTGCTCAGCTCCTGCTGCTGGGATGGGCTGAGGGAGGAAGCACTTTGTAGGAGAAACAAATGTGGGAAGGGTCCATAAAACTTTACTGCATTTCCTCTGCCTCCTCCCACAAAGGGATGATTTCCTGGAGCCTAGCCTAGGCCCCCCACACTGTTGGGATGGGGGTCTATTGCTGGGCTAGGAGCTGCTCCAGCAGCCAAGAGAGGAAGGGAGCAGAGTAGTTCTGGGGAGGGGCAGGGAGAGTATTTATGATTATTAATGCTGATGTTCCTTGGATTTATTATAAGGGCTAACTTTGTCCTTATCCTGCTGCCTAAGCTACCCATCTGCCTATCATTTTTTAGAAGACCCAAGAGCCTTTTCTTGCCCCATACTTAGCACATAGGCGATCTCAGCAAATGTTTATTGAGCTGCACTCATGACTACCACCCTCACCCTTTCACATTGGACTCTGGCCAGTTTAGGGCATGGGTAATGTCTCTCTTCAACTTGCACAAAGCTGGTCAGTCCATCCCACCGGCACCAACTTTCAATCTCTCTCCCCCTCCCTCCCTGAAATAAAATGTGTAATTTTCTTCAGGGAGTTATTTTAATTTTTTCTCCATGCTGAGTAAAACTATTGGGTAAGCAGTGAAGCATGAAGAAGCACTGGCGTCTCCAGTGGGTAACAGTTAAATAAGAAAGGGGCTGTGTCACCACATGCACTGGCTCCAGCCTCCCAAGTCTGCTTCTTCCCCAGGGGCCAGACCAAGGAAGAGAACCAAGGGCTTTTACCCAGGAAGGAGCAATGCCGACCAGACCTGCCAGGCCAGTGAAGCAGCCCCCGCTGGGCACTGACTGCTTTCCCCTAGCAGGATTTGGGCCTCTCCTTCCCCAGAGTTGCTGAAAAACTGACTCAGCTGGGTCACGCTTGGGGAAAACACTGCTGTGCCTTCCTGCTCTCCTCCCTCCTGTCACAGTGTGCAGGCCTATGCCCGCCCAAGCTCGGCCTCCACTGAGCTTCAGTGGAACCTGCAGCGGCACCCACGCCAGAGGCCTCAGAAATACTCCCCTGCGCTGGGAGTGGGTGAGGCCCAGCCCCTTGATCTCTCCCTGAATGGAAGCTTCTGCTTAGTATCTAGGGGTAGTTGTCCCACCAGCCAGCCTCTTGGCACAATTTCCAAGAACCAGAGTTTGGCATTGCACTGGGGCAGTAAGTGGAGGGGCTTTTGGGTCCCAAAGGAGACCTGGGACCTTGCCTCTCCACTTCGCCCTGGAACCCACCCACTCTGGCAGCAAGAAAGAAGGGGATGAAGCATGACTTACCTTCCCGGGGGAGTGGGAAGAGGGGACACGGCCCACTCTGAGCAATTAGAGGAGAGAGGAGGAAAAAAAATAGAAAAAATAACACAACCTTGAAGGCGACAGGTCCTTATGGAAATAAGTAAGTAAATAAATAAAGATCCATCCTCTCCTTCCTCCCCACCCTGTAAGGGGATGTAGGGGTGGGGCAAAGGAGCAGCACGAGGGCTTTTTACTGTAACTGAGCATTAGAGAAATAGGCATAGCTTCTATGTGAATTTAGGAGTTTGAAACTTTTGGAGGTTATTTATGTGAATGGCCTGAAGGCAAGCCTGTGAGTGGCTCTTGGGGGACCACGTGATGTCATTAAACCAAGTTTTATGGTGTAGGGAGAGCTGACAAACCCACAATATATTTACATCATATATAATCTTAACTGTCCAGCCACGCAGCTGCTGGTGAGGTTTAATGCTAGGACAGAAGGCCTGGCAGTTAGAGGGGATTACGGCGCTGGGGATGATGGTGAGAGAGGTTACATCTTCGAAAATGAATCCCAGGCAAACGAACGAACGCTGTAAGTTAATTCTCTCCCCTTCTGAGACCTTTCTTTCCATTTGCCTAACTCCCTTCCCACCTCTTGAAAGAAGGTAATTCCCACTCATTAAGGTGAAAGAGGAAGGCTTCTCCAGGCCTCCCCATTCAGCGGTGGGAGAAGAGAGAAAGCTGCTGAGAAGCAGGAAGATGGGGGAACTGACTCCTCAGACCAAGCCTCCCCTCTCTTTTTCCTCCTCATTCCCTCCAGCTGCAAGTCAGCTTGAGGAGGAGGAAGCCTGGGCTCTTTAGAACTCTGGGAGACATTCTCTCCGTGGGAAGAAAGCCTGAGGCAGGGACATACATGTTTGGTGTTTGTAAAAACGTGTAAACTCTAGACCAGTGCAAAGTGCCTCTGGGGTCCCTGTTTCAGGGAGGGGAACAATTCGGCCCTTGGCCAGTGGCCCAGAGTCCAGGTAGGGGAGGAAGCTGAGGAGAAAGACAGGGAAGGAGAGCTCTGGAACTACAGAGTCCACAGTCTGCTGCCTGGACTGGCTCCAAATTAATCTCCTCCCTCTTCACTATTAAGTTGGCTTTGGTGTGTAGTTTCCTAGTATGCAAAATCTGAGGTCTTAGTCTGTCAGAGGCCAGTGTGGTTTTTGCTTCCCTCTCCCTCTAGCTGCTGGAGTCTTCCTTATCTCAGGTAAAAGTAGGCCCCAGGAGGCCTACAGGACTCTTTCTGTGAGTATGATGTTCTGTGTATTGGACATGGCGGGAGAGAGTGTCTTTGCTAGGCTAGAAAAGCTCCCCAAGCAGAGAACCGTGTGGCCTCTAAGGGATGGAGTTAGCAGGGTTCAATGCGGGCACTGTAAGGGGAAGCAGTTGGGGGAGCTCTTTTTGGGTTTCTAGGTAAGCATAGGAGGGGCATTGATCGTGGGAGGCATGTGACCTCCACACCTCTGAGTGCACACTCCCTTTGTGCATCACCTTCACAGGGAGATAAGCCAGGAAACTAACAGGTGAATTCAGGCTCCTGGGAACTGGGAGGGATTCAGCAGGGCTGGAGGGGGGGAGGGAGTGAAGGGGAAATTTTTCTGAAGAGGAGGCTTCCTTGGGATAAGAGGGTCTTGGGGTAAGAAGGTCTTGGTGTATGATTTGTGGAAAGGTGCACATTGAGGAATGAAGATGTCATCCTAGAAGCTTCACTCAGGCCTCTGAAACCCAAGCACCAAAGAAGAAAACAGAATCAAGTAGAGAAAGATAGATGCGACCCACTCAGGAAAGATAGAGGCCCAAAAAAAGATAAAGGGCACTTAAGCCAAACTCCTTTGTAAGGAATGTAGGTGCCCACTGATGCCTGATCTCAGAGCCTCAGTCCCCTGGCAAGATTTGGCCTCCCTCCCCCTCCCCCAGACTTCCTCATTTCCCTCAGAAGCCCTAGTCCCTGTTGATTTTCTCCAAGAACCCATTCAAAAAATTAACTCTCAGGTTCCCCCACACACACCTTTACCTGCCCTCCTCAGCTCTCTTTCAGCCACCAGTCTGTGATCTTATAAAGAGTTCTAGAAACTTTCCTATCAATCCAAGCATCAAGGAGATGGGCATTTCCTTTGGTCTATAACTTCACTCTTCTACTTCCTCTAGCCTCTCCAGGGCCCTAGCAAAATCAGGTGGTCTTTAACCAAGAATTAGTCAGAGCCAAAGTCCCACACCCTAGCAAGACTCCACCATGCTCGCTCTTGCTGACCCCAGCCAAACCTCAGTCCCATTTCCTTTCTCTCTGTGTGGAGGCTGTGTGAGTGTGTTTTACAAATTCTCACAGTGTCTCTTGAGGCATTCAATGAATTCCTGGTCCCTCTCTTTTCTTTGGGCTTAAAAGTTCCTTTTAAATACCACCTTCTCTTCCTGGGACAATAGAGCTTCCTTCCTCTCAAATGATTTGCCTTGCAGTCAGGTCAATTTTTTACTGTTTTCCAGGTTTCACCTGGGGACAGGACAAATACAAAAGGGGCATGAGATTCTTGATCATCACCACCACCTAATCTTCAGAAGAGGGGAATGGGCAGACAATCAGGTGCCAACTGTGCCCCAGCCTACCCAGAAATCTTAATTTTACTCCTAGGTTTTTAATTTAGAAGTCAAACAACCAATCAGGAATGCTCTGTATATAAGGTCACATGACTCCCATCAACCAATCAGCAAAAATTGTTTGGGTCTCTGTGTCTTGATTTTCCCTTCTATTTTATTCTTCTTTTTTCCTCCCTTCTCTGTAGCCCTTTACCTCCTGGGTCCACCCTATTGCCCTACCTCAGATTCAGAGTGGGTGATATTGAGCATATTCTAGCCCCCTCCCTCTTCCCTTGAACCAGCTGTGAGTCATTTTTGGCTTGTGG